CCGGCCGGGGGATGTCGGTGTGTCCTCACGGCCTGTCCGCCTCTCTTTGCAGCGGGTTTTTCGGCGAACCCGACTCCTTCTCCATGTACGGCAGCAACCGGGTGAAGCGGAGACCCTCTCCGTACGAGATGGAGATCACCGACGGTGAGAGAATTTCGCCCCTGCGACGCATTTTGGGGGGAAGGGGTGTCTCTGTCTGCCATGGGGGGAAAGTTTGCACAATGCCACACTCTGGGACTAAACCCCCAAATAATAAAAGGACCAAAACCCCAAAGCCTAAAACGCGAGTAGGATGCCCAGGGAGGCAGGGGGCTCTCCTGTAAGCAGAGCCCTCAGCCATCCCCAGCAGCTTGCTGGGCGAGTTTGCCTTCACCCAGCACGACAGCGATGCCTGTGGCTAATTACATCCCTATTCTGCGAATTGCTTAGAGATTAAATCCGAAAGAAGACAAGAAATGCGTGTCTTTGTTGAAGTGCGGATCAGGGTCATTGCCATTGCGGTGAGATGTTTCATTCCAGCCCGGAGGCGTTCGCCCCGCAGAGCCCAGCCTTGGGCAGAAAGGATAACCTGCCTTTAAACCAGCTCTTGGGCATCCTGCTCGCGTTTTAGGGTTTGCCTGCTCCGGGCAGCAGGTTTGGGGTGTGCAAGGGGATCTCTGCCCACGCAAAGGGACACTCGCAAGAATGATTTGCACGTGGAAGGCCGGCCTGTTTATGTCCGCAGTTAACAGCTCCTACACACGAGATTCGCTGAAACGCGTTTTATCTTAAGCGATTGGAAACACTTTATTTCAATTGCTGGACAATTAATTCTCCTCCTTTCCAGCTAGCTGTCCCTTCCCTTCTACCCAGCTAATCTAAAATCGAATCATAACCTGCATCAGTCCAAAATAATGCATCCCGAAATGACAGGCTCAGGGCATTATCGGCATGAATCAGAATCCTCTCCCCTCCCGCTCCTTTCAGACTGCAGCCCCGTGGGACAGGGGATGTTACAGCCCCAGTGCAAGAAGGGCTTTTTGTCTGGGTTTTACCATTTATGGGGAAAAGTTCATCCAATCTCAGTGTCTGACTAAAGCTTTGCACTTACTATTAAACTAGGTATTAAAGATTACAGAAATACTTGGCTGTAACCAAAATTTTGAACACATAAAGATTTGATGCAGGCGTACAGATTGGGCCCAATCCTGCAGGTTCTTGTTCGTGTGAATTTCCAAGATTGGACTCAACATTTTTTGAGGGGCAAAAAGGGTATCAGATTATGTTGTGTAAACAGGAATAATTTGTAGGGATGCAAATCCCATGCTGAGGCACCTGTGTGGTCTGAGGCACTTTTCTCATTGCTCTGATGGGCACCTGCTGGGTGACATCCAGGGCACACAGGAGCATCACTCTAGAGGGTCCTCAGCCCTTGGGGGCTGCAGAAGGGCAGGAAAGTCTTCCCAGACACTTTGTGTTTGTGGTTATTTCTGCAAGAGAATAAGTGGTGCAGTTTTTTAGTAGTTCTTTATCTATTCTATGGAAATTTTGTTCCATTTAATATCTTCTTTAAAATATTCAGAAGTAAAGATAAAAATGCAAAAAAGATCTCTAAAAAAGTATATCCTGGAACTTTGGAGGAGCTTCTTTTTATTAGTTTCCCTCATATTTCTAATTAAAAAAAAAAAAAAAAAAAAAGCATCAGTCAATCCATTAGAACAAAATCCAGGCAAAAATTCTCATCTGATTGCTTGAATTAATTATGAGGCAAGTTTTTTTTTTTTATGAGAAGTAAATTTTCTATTATAACACAGCTATGGGGCATTTTAATTTCCTCCAGTGCTTGACATGTTTTGGCCAAAGCCTGATCTCTTTCTAAAAGATATGTTTAATTCAGTTGGTGCAGGAATCAAGAAGTTGACTGGTGTCAGAATTTGTTTTATATATACTAAAGCTTGATTTGGGTGCCTCTGGATGAAAATGAACAGGTGGTTTTTTTGTGTTTTTTTCCTGATTTCTGACTAATTTATGAATAGATGCCTTTTAGTCATCAACTTTCAGTGAACAGAAACACATATTTGAAGACTGAAAGCCTCTTGAGGATACTTTTTAATGAGCAGTATCCAAGGTGTGGTTATTTCTCATACCCTTATGGGAGTAAATAGCTTTTGAGCACCATCTCTCTCTGGAATCAAAAACAGTTGCTTTGTCTTGTCTGGAAATAGCAGTAAAGTGTTAAAAATGTCATATTATTTTAGTAGGATGTAGCACATTCTTCACTGCTTAATTAGCAGTGCTGCTGAGGTCCCTTTGGTCCCTGTCGCCTTCCCCACAATCCTGTGGCACAGCACACATCAGGGACAGGAAACCTTCCCTTTGCATGAGCTCTTGTACCTAAATTCATACCGAGGGCATTAGGTGCTGTTTGGGGGTGAATATTGCCTTTGTTAAAGCATCACACTGGAATCCTAGAGGTCAGGGAGGTGTTTGTCATTTCTGCATCCCCCAGCTTGTCCCAGGGGCTGTTTGTGGCTTTAGGGGACCCCCAGCTCTGAGCACACTTTGAGGAGGAGTGTGTTGTGAGGCTGCTCACACACTGGAGAGGCTGGCAGCTTTAACTGGCTGATTGAGTGTGTGTCCCCATGCAAACCCTGCAGGGCAGGGGGTTCTGAGGGCTGTGCTGGGCTGCAGGGACTCAGCTTCCCCCAAAGAGAGAAAAGTGTGATGGCATCTGATGGTATCTGATGGTATCTGATCAGCTGGAACAAGGGATTCCACTTCTCCTGTTGTGCAGGGTGGGATTTGCTGAGGTACAGCCTGACCAGGATGCTCATAAAACGTCACACCTGTTTGGTTCCTGTGCCACAGCCAAGGCAGCCAAGAGTTTTGGTAGAAAAGAATAAAGGTGTTTAAATGTGCCCCGGGGGGCTGGTTCCACTGTGTGATGTAGGAACTGTGGCTTGGACTGCTCACCAAGGCCAGGGACTTGTTCCCACCAGGAGGGAGAGGTCAGGCAGGTGTCACAGAGTGGGGGATACAGGGGAGAGATGGGGAAAATGAGAATTCCACGGTCCTTCGGGGTAAATCTCACCAGTGTGCGACCTGTAAGGCTTTGCTCCCCACTCTGTGATGATTTTCATTGTATGTGATGCTTCCTATCCCATGGGAGTTTCTGCCCTGAACATTCTTCCAGATTTTCATGAGATTGATGTGACCTTCCATTGTTGATGTCTCCTGGAGGAGAAGATGGGAAGGATGTAATAATAAAATCATGTTATGGTAGTGTTCCCTCATGTGAGCTGGTTTCCATGGACCCAAGGACCTGCAATCCTGATTTACAGCACTGCTGCTCCTGCAGAACAGTGTTTTTCAGCAGATGTGCTTTTGGGTCTCTCCTAGCACAGAGACAAAGCTTTTCTCATGTACACCAGGAGGTGCCTGAGGTGCTGAAAGGAGAATTGGTGTGCTTTGTGCCTTCATCCTGTGTAGCATCCCCTCTCAGAAACATGGCTGTAAAATTTCAAGGTGCAATTGGAGGTCACATGTAATTAGGTCAAATGAGCACGTCCAGCAATTTGGGGCCCCTTCTCCAATCATTGTCAGAGGGAGTTTTTGCCCTGTGGCAGTGATGACAGAGAGCAGGCAGCCCTCAGGTGAGCCATGAAGCTGTTCCAAACAGGGATCACCCTTCCAGCAGGACACTGCCTTCACTCCGTGGTCAGTGTGGTCACTTCCTACCTGTCCTCATTGCTATGGGACAAATCCCACCACCCCATCTCATTCAGAGGGCTGGTGGCAATCCTCTGGTCTCTCTCAGCAGGGAAGACCTCTGGATCTCAGAGTTGTCAAAGCTTCTGCTAGAGCTGATTTCCTCCCGTCCCAGGGGTGTGTCCTTTAGACAATTTTTGGGATTGAAAATAAAGTGTCTAGTGAGATAAACTTTTAATAGGACCATTGTTGCTGAGTTTCCCTTGTTGATGAGTTGAGACACCCTAAAATTATAGCAGCCTTCTGCACACATATCATGGCCTAAGCCTTCTTCCTTGGAGAGGTAAATTTCAATATCTGAGGAGACATCCAAAGAGATGCAACTCCATTTTTCCCTTCCACTGAATTGAACAGAAGTTATGGCATTCTCAGCTCATGGGCTTGGCTTCCACTTAGGTGGAAACTCTTGTTTCACTGCCTTGCTGATTAAACCTCACTAAAATTAGTGAGTTAGTTAATTTGCAAAACAGTGGCCTATTCAGCAAAGTAATACGTGTTGAACCCAGTTCCTAATTGTGCGTGGTTGGCATTGCAGGCCCTCACACGAAGGTGGTTCGTCGCATCTTCACCAACAGCCGGGAGAGATGGAGGCAGCAGAACGTCAACGGGGCCTTCGCGGAGCTGCGCAAGCTCATCCCCACCCACCCGCCCGACAAGAAGCTCAGCAAGAACGAGATCCTGCGCCTGGCCATGAAATACATCAATTTCCTGGCCAAGCTGCTCAACGACCAGGAGGAAGAAGGAAACCAAAGGGGCAAGGTGAGCAAAGACTCGGGGATAGTCCAGGAAGACCTCCTGCAGGACATGCTGTCCCCCAACTCTAGCTGTGGCAGCTCTCTGGATGGGGCGGCGAGCCCGGACAGCTTCACGGAAGAGCACGAGGCGCTGGACTCGAAGCACACGCGCAGCCTGCACCACGCCATCCTCCCTGTCGAAGGCAACGCGCAGCGGTGATGACCCCCACGCTGCTCCCTGAGGGCCACGGGGGACAGGCCGGGCCTGTGCAGCTGCTGGAACTTGTGCCTGTGGGATCTGTGACTCTGCCTTTCCCCGGGAGCTCGCTCTGCCCGCGCTGGCTGAGGACCAGACCAGCCCAGATGAACGTTGGGGGTTTAGGTACGCGACCGTAGGGAGGAGAAAAGCGTTGAGGTCGTCTTTGTTGTACAGAACTGCTCGGGATGGGACTCTGAGGAGGGGAAGGAGACGTGGCTGGCTCCTCTCTGGCGTTTAGAGGGTTCCCAGACCGCTTGGTGAGCGTCTCTTTGCAAACATCCATCTGGGTGAGGCATGGAACTCCTCTTCCTCTGCCCGCGGAGGCTGCCGGCGCTTTCCAGCTCCACATGGTGCTGGAAAATGCTGCATCACACCAGTGCTGCAGCGCTCCTCCAGCCTGAGCACATCCAGCTGGTCTGAGCAGGAGCTTGGCCACATATTCCTGTTGTCCGAGAGCTTTTGACTGTATCTTTTTAAAGAGGTGAAAAAATATCCTCAGCAAAAGAACTATTAAAAGGATTTAGACTATTTCTTTTTCTCTCCCTTTTTCTTTCTTTTTTTCTTTCTTTCTTTTTTTTTCCCTTCCCTTTTTTCCTTTCTCTTCTATCTGATTTTGGATTGTTTGGGCTTGTTGTATTTATGATGTGGGATTACTTCCGTTTAACACTGTCATGCAGTATCCATGAATGAAAAGGTACATAGGTATTTTCTGCCACCCTCCCAGTCCCTGATTCTTCTGCTGGTTACACTCAGCAGGTGAATTTCAAGCCTGTTGTGGTCTCCTAGGGTTTTTCCAGTGGTTTCTGTGGGGCCAGAGCTTCTCTCCAGAAAGATGAATTTCAGAGTTGGTAAAGGAAGAAAATATTTGCTAGTGAAGTATCTCTTTGGACTGGGGGATTTTTAAATTCAAAAAAGCAAAAAAAAAAAAAGGGGGCAAAAGGAGTCAATGATGTATCAATAGTGTGCGTGTACATAGGGTTATAAAAAGGTTTTTTGATGGTATGCTTTGAATTTTTTGGTTTTATTTTGTGAAATGGTGGTTCAGCTGTGCCAATGCGGACAATAGTGCTGGATTTATTCTGGTGTTAGGAAAGTCCTCACCTGTCGAGGCTGGTGGGAGTCCACAGCCTCTCTGAATCTTGGGGGAAGCAGTAAAACAGTAGTGGGATTAGCCTGCACTCCTGAGTGATAAAATTGTTGCAAAGCTGATCTCTGTGACTTGGCTGATCCCCTGGCCCTGCTGCCCCCCAGGAGGATGTTTGGGAAGCGGGAGAGCAGGGGAGCAGGAGGCCGCTGCTGCTGCAGTGGGAGCTGAGAGCCACACTGTGCCACCCCTGCTGCATCAGGCCCCCTCTCACCAGCCCATCTCCTGAGCCTGATGGAGCAACTGCCCCAAACCCATCCTGTCCCCCTGCACACGTGTCAGGGCACAGAAATCCTTACCATGATACAGCAGAACAAAACCCCAAACTCACACACCAAACCTCCTTTGGAAGGGAATAAACCTCTCTGAGTGGGGACACCTTCCACCACACTCGTGCCTTCCCAAGGATGCTGAGGTACAAGGGAGCACAGGGAATTTGAGTGGGTGTCTGCAAGCCCATCCAGGCTTAATCCAGAGCCCTGTCATTTCCATCCCTGCTTGGTTTTGATGCCTCTTCATAAATAATAGGGAAGAGTCTGGCATGTGGCTTGGCATGTTAGGCAGAATTAGTTGCCTGGGAAGGGATCCTGGCCCATGCAAGGATTTCCAGCATAGCCCCCAAATTTTTGGAAAGCACCAATCTCCCCCATCCTAAACTGGGGAAAAGGAGGAAAACTCTTGGGTCTGGGTTGCCTGTGCAGGGGGTTTTTATTAGAGGAGGGGACCAGGGAAGGTGCTGGGGGTGAGGAGGCGATGCTGAGGGAGAGGTTGGACTGGTACTGGTGCCAGGGCTAGGAGAGACAAACAGGGGGCTGCCAGGGTGCCCTCGGGGCGGGAGGGGAGTAGGGGAGTGCTGTCACACAGGTAAAGCCGTTCCTGGTTCCCAAATAACCCTGGGTGGGTATGTGGGGTTTTACACCCTTGTTATTAACCTGGCACAAGAAAATAAAATAATTCACCCTCAGACACCCCTCATGCCACACAAACCCATTGCTTCCTGTCTGTGTCTTCTGGGGAGCTGCACACTTGGGGAAATGGTACAACCTTGTCAGCACCCCAAACACCCCCAGGCACCGAGCAGGGAGTGCTGCAGGTCCCCGGGGCATGTACAGTTGTACTTTAATTGTGATTTGAATGGTACATTTCCTCTGCCCACCTCTCCTCCTGCCTGCTTCACCTCTCGCTCTGTGGCCCATCACCCCCATTCCTGTCGGCAGCAGCGCCCTGGGGCAGTGTCGTACCGTGTGAGTGAATTCCTGCCTTACCGATTTTGGTTTTTTCAGCCCCATCCCTCTCTCTGCCACCCTCCCCCTTGGATTTCTGCATTTTTTCTGCAGAAATGAAGTAACCAGACCTGGTACCCTGAGTCTCAACCCACTGTGGACGTGCTATTTAGAAAACACATTTGTTGTAATGTGTGTGTATATATAAATATATATATATAATGAATATATCAAGAATATTTCTAAATAAAGTTTTACAAAGCAGCCTCCACTCGCTGTCTGCCTCTGTCCCACCTCATCCCTCGAATCCATCATTAGTTTGGAGCTCCATCCCTGAATGCCATGGGGTGAAGATGCTGGGGTGGCGCATTCCCAGCCAGCCAAAGACATGAACAGGCAGCAAAAAACGTTGCAGAAGGATCTGCTAATTATGTTTTTTTGCTTGCTTGACTCACACGGTCCAGCCTGGGCGGGGGAAGAGCTGGCAGGAAGGAAGGCGGGCGATGAAGCAATGCCCGCAGCAGGAGCGTTACCAGCCACCCCTCCTCAGCCAGCTGTCACTGGAGGTCCCCCAAAGGCTCCCGTGGCCTTTTCCCTTCTTCTGGCCAGGCTGGCTGTGCAAGGAAGGGGCTGCTGGGGGCCACGCCACTTCCCTTTGCGCCAGGGCAGGCGTTCGGCCATGGTTTAACAGGCAGTGAGAGTAATTCCTCTTTTTTAGGGAAGAAATTATCACAGCCACGTGCATAAGTGCTTTGAAAAATATACAGCACCAATTAGGCAGTGTTTAAGGCTAAGCAGTTCACTGAACATGTGTGTGTTTCAAAATATATATATATAGAGAGATACATATATATATATATATATTTTTATATATATGTGTGTGTGTGTGTGTGTTTTTTAATATATGTGTATATATATATATATATATATATATGTGTCTCTCTGTGTATATATATATAATATATCTCTATAATATATATATTTTTTATATATGTGTTTTTATATATATATGTATATATATATGTATTTATATATATATTTATTTATATATGTATACAGTACCATGTTGCTGATGGTGGCTGACACCATACTGAGCACAGAGCAGATGAGCAGGACTGGCACCACAAGTATTTTCTTGACTTTAATTTCTATGAATTTCTATGAATTACAGATTGTTGCCTATTTAAACAAACCCTTTAAAGCATCCCTTGCTTTTTTAAAGCCTCCCTACAAAATTTTAGCTGCTAACCCCATCTCGCCATTAGTCTGGGAGCCAACACTTGCTTTTAAGGTTTCCAGGAGGGACATGGAGATGTCCCCTCCCAGCCAGGCTGAGCAGAGCCCTGGAGCCAGGGCTGGGCTGGTTCCATGCCAGGCTCTGGGACAAGGCGTGGGGCAGGTGTGGGCAGTGTGAGGCTGCTGGGTGCTTATCTGGAGCTGGGAGATCACGGCTGCACATCTGGGTTAACCCCTGTCTCCTGTTGTGCTGCCAGCCCAGCAAGAGCTGATTGCTCACCCACTGGTTATCTCAGCCTCCCACCTCCTGTCCCCTCCCTCCCTCCTGCCATTGCCCAGACAATTCTCCTTTCACCTCCCCTTCTGTTCTTTTGCTTTCTTCAAGTAAAATATCATTGATAGCCACAAGTATTTTGCAACCAGCAAAGGAAAAAGCATCCTTAAGGGAAAAAAACACCTGCAGGGTGAAGGCTTCAAGCAACTCTGTGCACATTTATAGGTTCCATAACCTATGGAAAGGGCTGAGAGGCTTCCAGCCTCACCTGCTCCATGGTGGGATGGTCAATGTGCATCTCTCCTGATTGAACCTGGTGGTGGGGACACCCTGGGTGCTGCTCTGCTGGGACAGGCTCCAGGGCTGTGTCCTCAGGTGGTGGCTTTGTGCTGGCCGTGCTGGAAGAAGCATCTTTCTTCCATCATCTTTTTCTCCTGAGCATCTGGACCTTGGTGCTGCTTGGCCACCAGAATGCAAATGTGAGAGAAGGAAGCAGACATTCACCTGCTTTTGTGTTGTTTTTTTTTTTTTTTAAGTAATTTTTTAAAGCCCTTCCCATTCTTGTCTTCCAGACTTTAATCCATTTCTCATCAAATGGTAATTTCTTTCTACAATCATGTTATGTTGCAAAGGGTGATGTGCAATGCTCTGTGGATTTAAATATATGGGGAAAAACCCCAACCCAACACAGTTTTTTTTTCTGTTCATGCAAAACAGAAAAGAAAGCTGGGGAAAGCATCCTAAGGTCCTGGTTGCCCCTGCATGGAAGGGAAACAGCCTGGGTGTCATGGGTGGCATTGGCCTCAGATGGGACAGTGCTGGGGCCCATCTCTCACTGCTGGCACCACAAGGTCTGTAGGACAGGAGATTTTCTGGCAAATAGCAGTTTCTTCACAAACTTGAAACAGATGCATTTAAAGGTGTTTTGTTCATCCAGTTTTGTAATGTGTTCCAGGAATTGACATTCAGGCTTCCAGTGGCAGGAAATTTCCCTTACAAGTGCATGGATGACACTGGGGAGTGAGAACAGCAGGACTTGACATTGAGATAAAACTGAATTAAAAACCAGAGAGAAGGTGGGAGAATTTCATATATCCAAAATGATGAAAGAAGGAACACAAAACCCCCAAAATCACTCCAAATTTGGGCAGCTACTATTTTCCATCCTCATTATCTGTTTTTAATTACAGCCTTTCTGGCAAAGCCACGTTGAGGGCAGCCTGGCACTGGGAACACAGCCGAGGCCAGGAGCAGGGACCTGCTTCATTAGGGGCATTCCCACATAATTGAATCAAAAATGCTCACGGAAACGGCAGCACCCAAACATTCCCACCCCGGCAGCCCATGAGAAAGCTCCTCCTCTTCGCTGTGACAGGCGAGGTGACAACAGGAGGGAGTAATTGATGGCTCTCTGGGACTGTTCGGTCTGCCCTCCATCCCGGGGCTCATCCATGACATTCCCAGCGCCACACAAAAGCCGCAGCCGGCCGGTGATGCCCAGGGGACACCGCGCTGTCACACGGAGATGAGCAGCGAGCAGCATCCTCTCCTCCCAGTCCTGTTTTTTCTCTCTGGTCCTCCTGCCACTCCTTTCACCTTATTACTCGCCCTCCGTTTTTTTTTTTTCATTTTTTTATTTTCCATCGCAAAACT